TGTGTGGGGGGGAGAGGAAGATCAAGGCCCCCAAGGTGACGGAGGAAGTGGGGCAGGGACAGATCCCCGGGGGAAGGGGAAGGCAGCACCATGCTGGGCTACATTGCGCTGTGGTCAGGCCCTGGGCAGTAGCAGCACTGGGAAGGGGGAGCTATGGCAAATTTTCAGGTGCCTGCAGCCCCCCCACGTAACCCTGCTCCTAGCAGGGTTTTTACATTGCCCAGCCCACCCCAGACTTAGCGTGCAGCAGTAGCTGGCCCAGCTGGCGTGCTGATCCAGGGGTGCATGATTCCTGTGCCCTCCTAGGGTGCATGCCCTACCTCCCTACAACCTCCAGGTAAGCAGCTCATGGCTCCATCCCACAAGCAACTGTGCAGGACCTGTCCCTGCTCCAGCCCCATTCCCATCCTCTCTCAGCTGCTGCAGCTGCCTATACTGCCTGGCATTTGTCGGGGGGAGCATGTGCCTCCCCATCTGTGCACAGTGGAGGTAGCTGCCGCTGCAGGCTGGGCTTTGTGCCCCAAGGCTCACTGCAGCTCGACATTACATGTCCCACCGCTGGGCTGAGCCTTTTTCCCTACCTGCCCAGCAGCTCGATGCACATGGCGTTGAGCCACTCCTGGGTGGGCTGCAGTGGGGCTTGGGATGCCTAGCCTGCAACACAGCTGCCTCTGCTGTGCACAGATGGGGGGGGGGCATGTGCCCCCCGGGTCCTCTGTTGGGGTGTGCAGTGGCGGGAGACCCCCCCATGCCCCTGGATGAGGCGCCCAGGCTTGATCCTCCCACCACTTATCTGGCTAGGGCCCCACTCAACCTACCCCTGCTCCTGCCTCTGTGGCACTCTGTCCCTCCCCGCAGGGGCCTTGATCTGGCCTCTGCCCCTTCCCTCCCCCATGGACTGACCTGTTGGGTGGGGCGCATGTATGCATGCATGCATGCACACGCTCAGCCCCCCACCCCAGCCTCAGATTGACTCTAAGAGGCTCCGAGATCTACCGATTGATCAAGACTGACTGGTTGGTGACCGCTGTGATTACACTATGGACTAATGTCGGTGCACCTCTACTTGAAAGGCAACTTAAGTGGGTCACTTGTTCAGTGTTCTCCTTTACATCATGGACTATGGCTATTAAAAGCACATGTTCTTACTATCTGCAAATAACAAGAAGTTGGGAAAGGTTGCAAGCACTCTGGAGTACAAGATTGGGACTGAAAACAATTTTGATAAATTGGAGAAATGATTTAAAATCAACAAGATGAAATTCAGTTAAAGGAAGTGCAAAGTCCTACATGTCAGAAAGCAGAAGTCAAACATGATGTGATGCTGCTTCAAAAAGAGTAAAACTCATCCTTGGATGCATTTATGTGAGTTTGTAATGTAATATAAGACAAATAAGGCAACTATTCTGCTCTACTTCATGCTGGCGAGACCTTGGTTGAAAGAGTATCTCAAATTTGGAAGACCAGACTTTAAAATGTAGACAAACTGGAGGCGGTTCAGAAGAGAGCAACAAGAATAATAAGAGGTTTAAAAAACGTGACTCACGTTAAAGGTCTGAAAGAACTTAGTTTAAGTGTAGAAAAGAGAAGACTGAAGGTGTCAAAACAAAGCATAAAATATTAGGTCAAGGCAACAGTCTTTTAATACATAAGAAGGTGGTATGAAAAGAAAGAGGATCAGTTATTCTCCAAAAAATCAACTTAAAATTTGCAGCAAAACATGTGTTAGGGTCCAGGATGCCTATGCTGTTGGGTGAGATAATCTTTTACGATCCCTTCCTGCCCTAAGACTATGATTAGCCTCCCTACATTACAGTAAAAAAGTATGGGATTATAATGGAGTCCCATCCCAAACTTCCTGTTTTCCCCAGTTGCTAAGATGTTGGGTAGGACTGGGTAGATGAATTTCCCTTTAGGTCATATATAAGGAGAGCCAGAGAGTGACCAGTCCATAACAGCTTAGCCACCAAAGAAGCTACAGCAGTGTGCTGGACAGCTCCTGAAGCTGAGCAGATGGGTCAAAACTGGGAGACTATAGTTATCTGAGTTGTAAAGGACACTGAGTACAGAATATGTTTGAGACTGCTGGGAAAGATAGATAACGTGAGAGAGTGGCTGACTGTTGTGCCCCTCAGTGGAGAATAAGGGATCACTGGCTATTAAACAGTTTGCTCAGCATCACATAGGATGCTGATGGCAGAGCTGGGAAGTATTTAGAACTCAAAAGAGAATGTTTAAACATAAGACTGACCTCCATGAGTAAGTTGTAATTGTTTCTAATACTTTCCTTATTCACAGTTGGTCAGTCACTTAATGAACAGTTCAAAAATTGGTGCATATGAGCATTCTCTGTTTCCACTAACTGCAAGAACTTTTTTCCTGGCCTGCTTTGTATAATTCTTTCAAAGGGGAAGTTCTCCTCTTTTATCCATTCCACTTACAAATTACCAGCAGAAGTCTTATTCATTCAGGTTAATCTTCTGAATGATTAACACAATGGCCAAGAAACCATTTCTGGTTTCAACACACTTGTGAATTCTACTCTACTTGTTCACTCTAAAAATCTAGGCTAAAACTTATTCTTGTTTGTTAAATTTTGAATTGTAAAGCCATAAATTATGCTCTGAAAATGGCCATCTATAACACCATTCAGGGTGTAAAGTTTGATTTAAATACTATTATAAAACATTGTACAACTTTAAAAAAATCTGGATTCATGATTACCTTTGGTCTGACCCCTGAGATTCCATCACGTCGTTACCTCCAAGAGCACTTTTCTGTAATAACAGTTCACACATTAACACTGCTGTGCATCACTGAAAAAATGTTGATGTTCAGCTTATATACTGAAGGAGTCTAGTTCTGCTCCATTTGTACTGATAATATAAACCACAACCTGCACATTCAGTTTTAAATAAATATTCACAATGAACTCTTTCAATTTGAAACGATAGCACTGAATTCTCCTGGGTATGTTATGACATTCACAACTATACAGAAGTGTCGCATCAAAGAACAGAAGTCCAAGCTTCTTTCTAACAACTTGCAAGATGACACACAAATCCTATATTCTTTTTTAACATTTGGCCACATTAGCACTTGAAGCCCTTTCAAAAGGAGATTGTTTCAAAGGGGCAGCAGCTCGTATGTTTTAATAGTTATATGAGGAGGAGTTATGAATGATTTAAATGCAGCAAACCCACTCTTTCTCACCACGAGCAAGGTGAATACGCACTTCACAGAAAGAGAAGCAATAGGTGGTATCAACTAATTTAATAACTACTGGATTTTTTTAAGGTTCAAGTAAAGTTGCCTTAAGTCTTCATTCTCCATGTATAACTGTTTTTGCTTATATTAATGACAGGGCTTGAAAAAAAAAAAGTCCAACTGTTTCCAGGGCATATACAGTCTAATTCCATAGGTTTTATGGCTTCATAGTATGCAAACAAAAATCACAACATTTTAGCTCTTATGTCTGTAAAATGAGTACCTTTGCAACTTGATAGCTAAACTAGGAGCTGTCATCTTCCTACATCTGCAAACATACAATTTTAGTGCCTGTGCTACCACTCAGACATTTGCTAAGTTGAAGCAGAGCAGAAACTAATCTTCCTCAGGTGTTCACAGGTTCCCTAAACAGTAACAGCAGGAGAAGTAAATGGGACTACCCACAGGGGTGGCTGCCCCAAAATTAAGCTAAATTACACTAATGAACTCCCATTTTACAACTATGCTGGCCACTGACATCAGTGTAAAAACTACTACTGTAACCTATCTTCACAGATGTAGCTGTCAAAAGGATTCTCTATTTGGTACTGTTCAAATCTTATAGTTAGTCTCTGATCTGGGAAAAAACAAAATCCAAGTTAAACAGACTAATACTGCAGAAATATTTATCTGGCTTATGCCTGGGAAATTTACTGTAGCAGTTTGAAAGCATATCTGTGTGTTTATTTATAAAAATAGTAGTCATCTATTTAATTCACAATTTCTAATGGTTATAATTGGCTTTAAATGAACTGCACGTCTCACATTGCCCATATGCATTATAAAAACAGGTACCTGAGTCTAGACTGGGGTGCCCAATGTCATCTGACCTTCCCACAGGGCTCCCCACAGATCCAAAAATCTGGTGGTAAGGGGCAGCGGCCTGCTGCCAAATTTTTAGAGCTGGAGGGAGCCCTGGAGGTTAGAGTTTGTGGCCCTGTGTGCTAGACTGGGTGTGCAGGGCCAGGATGGGGCCTGATCCGGGAGTGCAGTGCCCAATCCTGGTGCTCAGGGCTGGGGCAAAGTTGGTGAGGGGCCCAATCTAGGAACCCAGGGCCCACTTCTGGTGCACTGACTCTGCTCTTGGTGCAAGGGGTTGGGTAGAGGTGGCATGGGGCCAATTCCAGACATATATGACCAGCCATGGCTGTATGGAACCTGATCCAGGCATGCAGAGGCAGGACCTGATCCAAGTCTATGGACTGGCCCTGTACAACTCAGACCCATGGGGCCCAAAAGTTGATCACCTTTGTTCTAGATAATGCAAGTAAAAGAAAGGATTCAGCATATGTATATGCAGCAACTCAAGAACTATGCTAAACCATCTAGACAGAAGGAATCTAACTATGCAGCTAGCTCTGTTAGATGGATGTCCTGGTTATGATAGAATATCTACATGGATTAGACTAATAGAACATGATTTTAACCATTTTAAAAGGGAAGGGACAGCTACTGCTCTGCATATCAACTGTTAGTTGGGAGATTTCAGACACAAAATGCTCTTCCCCGGTCCAGGGAAAGCAGCAGATAGTCTAACCTATATACCAGATAATACTATGGCTTCTGCTTAACTGAGACTGTACCTGGTAACATCTCTCTCAACTATACAGTTAGTTCAATAACCGCCCCCACATTGTTTCTATCATATTTCCTGGACCAACACAGCTACAATACTCCAACCCCCTTGACAGACTAAGTAACTCAAAAACTTACACTTCAAGTTGACAGAGTTCAAACAAAAAAAGAGTTTATTTTGCACTTGCATACTGTGTTTGTGAGACCTCGACCAAAATATTCTGCATTAAATAAAAAATTAAACTGCACGAGTCATACATTATAATTTAAATAAGTCAAGAGACAAAACTGGGTTTGCTTAATACAAGATGGTGCAGTTGAGAAGTCTACTGTAGAAGGATTCTTCCATTATACAGGACCTGTTTTTTTTAATTCTATCTAAAAAGTGACAGAGCAACCTGTCTCTTGACGTCATTTGCTCCAACTACTTAATCTTTTTAAAAACTGTATGAAATCAGTACCAATTATAACAATTAGAGAACTTCTACCAAATTAAATATATATAGAGATCAGTCTTGACCATCATACTTTGCCATGCTGGCAGTTTTCCACAAGTAATAGCACCTGGATTATGCCCAGCTCCTGTGTCCACTTACAAGTTATTTCCCTGTTTACAGAAGCCATATAGCCCTGGGTAGCCATATAGACCAGATGCTCTATCAATATTTTACTAGGTTCATTTCAGAATTTCAACAAAACTTGCTACCTCTTAGAAATGATGCTGATGTTACTTTGTAGTAAGGCAGATTACTAGAAGAGATCACAATACTAGCCTTGCAAAGACAAAATTGCAAAAAATATCCCTATAATGGATATATAAATATAGTAGAGCCCTGTGTTCACAGGGCTGGGTTCATTAGCTTTTGTGAAGATGAGGGTTTGTGAATTATACACGGAAAACTAAAAATGCTCAGTGTGATCTGCATTTTTGAACAGAAAGAATTCACCAATTGTATTGGGAAATAATTTCAAGGAGAATATGAGAGTCAGAGCGCCCATATGCGTAGTTCCTGACATGCAACAAACAACTGCTCTGGTGCTTAAGGTGGCTTGAAAAACAGCAAGCAACTATAAGAAAACTAGACTTGCCCCCTCCATTTCCTACTGCTGTGACTGCATTGTAATAAGGAGCTGAACAAGTTACTGGCCAGTGTCACCCACATACAGCTTTGATGCTTGTTCTTACCTCTGCAACCCTGATTCATTTGTTGCGCTGCTTGATTCAATTAGAATTCACAGCTGCTCACTGGGAATGAGAATAAAATGGGGCTAACATTGTGTGCTAGAGAGACACTGTTAGTCTGAAGTTAGGTGGAAGGCAGGGTAGGGCCATGTATATTACACATGTATATTACACAATTAACTGGTGAATTGCACAATACATATAGACTGGTCACATGCAAAGTGATTATCACATGATAAAAATGACTGGACAGCTATAAAGACAGCCAACCAGCTATCAAGCCAATGCTTGAAAACATGTAACCACTCTACACCAGTTTCTATCTAACTTTAATTTGAAGGTATAGCGGGACTCCAAGGAAGGGATTTGTTCGGAGAGGCCTGAGCTTTTGTGGCCTCCAGTCGACTCTGCCAGCCGTCACAGATAAATACCATAAAAATCAGAGCAACGATACCAATTCTCACTCTCCAAATTAAGCTGGGGGCAAAGCCACTTGAGTAAAAACCCTTTGGGTTCTGTACTGTGCAGTGGCACTTCTTCACCTTCCTCATGCTGTTGCAGTATAACTGTGCCCTCAACATACAGTTAAAGCCCCTTGTTAGCCTGATAAGATAAAGGTAAGGCAAAACACTGGAAAGAAAAATAAAAAGAAAGGGAGGGCTTATTCTGAACCTTCAGAGGAAGCATTAAAGAGGGAAGCAGGGCTTCCAAGTCAAGCCTGTCTTCAGAGCTTGCTTCCAGGATGGAGGGCAAGAGCAGGCAGGAAGTGGAAGCAGTGACTCAGCCACAGCACTGAGAAAGGGGCAGCCGAAAAGTCCAACTCTGTGAGGAAATAATTCTTGCTGTCTCTAGAGAGCATGGCCCTGTGCGTCGGATGGGATACGCGGGGCCTAATCTGGGCCAATTTGATACATTCAGAAACGTAGGCTTAGGCCTATCATAGACAACTATAAGCCCCCCTTTAAAAAAGAATGCCACTGAGAATGGAACAACTGATTGCTTGAGACAAATAAAAAAAGAAACCAGGAAACGGAGTGAGGGTTACAGGTTTGAAACAAGGGATCCACAAGAGGACACCGAGCAAAGCATGCTGGCCAGTGGCCACTGCCACCTGTATGAGTCAAGGAAGCCTGCAGATGCCGAGCAGCAAAACTCTGCCTGGAGACACAAGCAGACGAGCGAGAGGGTGGCAGCTCAGCCCGGTCCCACCCAGCCAGATCCTCCTTCCTGGTCTTGTAGGTGGCCAGCCTGGCCAGAGCCAGGAGGAAGTTGACCAGGCTTATTTGATGCATATTGGAAACATGGGCCTCGTACCCACAGAGCTATTGGGTATGCATCACTTAAAGTCATGGGACAAAGAAAATACAAAACAGGCATGGGAGTAACAATCACAGGTTCAGAACGAGTGCACTCAGGGGCACATGGACCAGAGTGTGCCAGACAATACCCCTGGGGCCTCCAACCAGCCCAAGGAGCCAGTGGGCACTGCCCAGTGAAACATGAAGGGACAGAGAAGCAGCCGCAGGGTCATCCTGGCCACAGTCTCTTCCCTGGTCCCATCTTCACAGAGGCCAATGAACCCACCTTTGAGTACAGGGCTCTACTGTATTTATGTATCAATTATAGGGATAATTTTTACAATGCATGCACTTTGTCTTTGCGAGGCTAGTATCATCATCTCTTCTAGTAATTTTCCTTACTGCCAATTAACATCAGCATCATTTCTAAGGGGCAGTAGGTTTTGTTGAAATCTGCAATGCACTTGGAGTCAATTGCCCGGCAAATACCACGAGAGCTTCAGGTCTGTAAAGGGTCCTTGCTCCTCAGTTCTTATTCCCAGTTCCTTTTTTATGCATCTCTAATGAAATTCTCTCTCTAGCATGTGTAATCTCAGCCTCTTGTGGGCTCTGATGAAGCATAACCCTATGCTTGTCTGGCAAAGGAAACATTGTGACCACTGAGGTGGTCCTCCAAGTCGCTCCCAGGGAAAACTGCTTTCCTGGCACGGAGATAGTACCTGCCAAGGTAATGTATAGTAAAACTCCTGCTTAGCTGCTGGAGTGGGAAGGTCTTGGCTTTATGGAAAGGGAAGACTCCTCCCTAGCTTGCTCCTGTGGCCTTATGGCTGAAGGCAAGCAAAACTCGGGGGCATCTGAACCCCAAGCTGGCTTGGGCCAGCAAGTAGGATGCTCGCCAAAAGTTTTGGAAACATCTGAAGCCCTTGGTGGGGGTGGGGGATGTTTGCTGGTAGCAGGACCATTTATGGTTCTGGACTGACTCTCGGATTTGGATTTTGTTTTTGGCTTGGAATGTGGAAAATTTAATTTAAAAAAATCAGGAATAACACGCTTTTATTGGGTAGGGATTAACTTTGAAAGAGGAACCAGGAATAAGGAACCGACTTCAGTCGCCCCAGGTCTATAATGCCACTGGGCGGCAGCCAGGAGGAGGCTGACCGGGAGGTCTCGGAGCGAGGGACGAAGGCAGAGCCACCCGGCCCGGCCCAGCCAAGCAGCCCGTCTCTTCAGAGCGCGCCCCAGGGGCAGGGGCAGGGACGCAAACCCCCCGGCCCGATCCCGGACCGCGGGATCACTCCCCCCACCCACTCGCACTTACCGCCTGCAGCAACGCCGCCAACTGCTTTAGTAACCGCTCCAGCACGCTGATTGCGGGGGAGTCACGTGACCCAGAAACCCCGCCCCCTCCCCGGCGACTGGCGAGGGAAGGCCGACACGACCTGGGAGAAGCTGCCGCGCATGCGCAGGGCGTTCGACCGTCAGTTCCTCTGCTTGGCTGCAGGGCCGGTGGCTGCTGGAACCCGGGTGGGTCACTGGGGGGGAGGGGGAATCCCCTCCCCCCCCCCCCCCC